TAAATTTAATTTATTTATGTTTAAATCCTATTGGTCAAGAAAAGAAAATTTGATCATTTCGTTTATGACCGTTTGATCAAATAACTCCTATGAGCGGTTATTAATAAAATAATCCTTTGAGTTATTATAAATAAATTCTATGAGTTATTGTAAAATAACTCATATGAGCGTTTTTGTAAAATACCTCCTATAAGTTATTTATGAGTTTTGTAAAATACTTTCATGAGGGGTTTTATTGATAAATCGTAGGAAATATATATTGGTCCTCTCTCTCTCTCATATAGGAGGAGTTATCTTGCTCCATATATGATTAACTCATGATAGAAGAAGTGAGGGAGAAGGGAGAGAACCGTAGTTCGAAATTCGACGAATTAAAATGAATCAAGGTATGTTTTTCTTCCGATTAAAGATTGTGAAAATCATCTTGTTTTAAAGATCTTGAGGATTTAAAACTTATGTAGATTCAAGTTTTTTTTTTTTCGTTTATTTTACATAAATTATGAAGCGAGTTCTTGCAAGAGTTAGAGAACTCTATTAAGTCTTACACATTAGGCCACATGGTATTCACATATGATTTTAATATCTTTAATAAAAATATCACTTGAACTTAAACTTCCAATCAAATTTAATCAATATCTTGTAAAATGTATAATAAAATTCAACATACTACTTAATAAAGAAGATTCCACAAAATTTAATCAAACTCTTTAAAAATTTTAATAAAAGGATACATACTATTTAGCACAAACTAGATACTTATAGCCACACCCTTATGAATTTTAGAATTATGGGGTATCTAAGGACCTTTTTGTGTGTTACAATGTGTTATTTTAGTTTATTTTTTTGATTTTGAATGATCTAAGATAGATATATCTCATTTGTAGGGAGCCATGGACAATAGAGCAATATATATATATATATATATATTAGATATATATATATTATTTTAATACAATTTACTTTTCTTATAAATGCTATGTAATAGTTTATTGGTAGGCATGGCCAATGAACATAAAAATTTGCTTAGCCCAATCTACGCCTTGTTTGAATGAATGCCATATATACTTTCCTATAATAATCTCTATTTTATAGAGTTTAATTTTATTTTATATTCAAAATATAATTATAGCTTAAGAAAACCTTAAAAGGCCTTAGGGTTATAGTACTTCGATAAACTCAATGATGCACCTTGAAGTCTTGATATTAAGCATGAAAACACTTGGGATAAATCAAATTATTATCTAAACTTAAGATAGATGTATTTTGATATAGTCTAAATATCTTCACATTTTTTAGAGAGTGTTATAGAACCTAATTGCAATTTTCCTTTATATTTTTATTATTTATACTTTCATATTTTGATTTATTTACAAGGTACCACATTGGAGTCAAAGGTGGATTTATGAGGAGCCTGCTGGGGCACATCCAGCTCCCCCCCCCCACAACAGCACACAACACACACACCTAAAAAAAAATGGCTTAAGTCTCACTTTCTACCTGCCCCACTCACCCCAGGTATTCTACCCTAAAACTTTTGCATTTACGGATCCAAAAATGCTTAGACAAGCTAAACACTATCTGGATTTGTAACATTTTCTTCCCCCAACATTCTCAATCATATTCTACCTCTGACATTTTTGATAATTTTCTTCCTCAAGTAGTCCAGCCCGTGACCCCGCCCATGAGAAAAATCACTCTTCCCTTGCCATTCTTAGTCATATTCTGCCTCCAACATTTTTGGTAAATTTCTTCCTCCAGCTGTCCAGCTTGTGCCCCCTCCCCTAAGCAAAATCGCTCTACCCTCACCGTTCTTCATATGTCAAATATACCTAATTCATGAATCCTAAAGGTGAGAACTTCTCAAATGTTTTTTTCTTCGTTAGTCATTCTTTAGGTTTAAATTTAATGAGCTAGAGAATTAGTGGTTGCAAGTTTGATTCCATTTTTATTGATTTTATTATGATTTTGTAAAGTTTTTGTGTATATATGGTTCTTTGATCTGAGATTTGGGCTGCAAAAATTGTTGCGGGTAACGTCTTTGATTTATGAGAGGTGTTTTCTTTCCAATTTGCTATTCCTATGTATTTCTTATGTCTTATATATGTTACGCAATTTTTTTCTCAACAGCACTTATTATACAAAAAAGATTCATAAAATCTTGAGATGGAAATTAATTAATAAATAAAATAATAGTAGAATGTTAAGCTAGCAATCCCTATGTTTGTTTTCCTTCTTCCTTTTGGCTATATGTTTTAGGTATTTTTGTATTGCACAAGGGTTATGGAGGGATAGTTTATGAAGTCGCTTAAATCTTGTGTAGCATTCTTGATACATATAGAGGAATCTAAAAAAAATGATGATGTGCATAATCTAAAAAAGAAGTCGAACGGATATTGAATCATAAAAAATTATGCAAACAGATATAAAAAATCTTCAATCAGATCCTATATTACTTATACCTATTTCTTAATTTTCTCCTAATTTATGAGATTATATTCGAAGGGCATATTTACAAAAAGGGTCAAGTCAACCTCGCAATCATGACTTCCTTAAAAGTATGTTTGGGGTCAAAGATAGGATTTTCAATCTGAGGTGGTTTGATAGAAGCACCAATGGGTTGCAATATAGTATTTTGAAGGATAAAGCATATTGATTGTATTGTTACCTTTTTGGTGCAAAAGGAAAAGGAAAGGAAGATAATGTGGTATTTAAAAGAAAGATATTCTCAAATTGAAAAAAACTTTATGGATTTGATCTTCATGTTGGAGGACCTAATAGTGCATACAATAATGCAAGACATACCTTCTAGACATCGATGCAATATGATCGAGCTGCAAATGCATATGATGTTCGTGTAAATTCTTGTGTTGATTGAGCGAAGTTCTTTATAACAGAAGGATTAGCCTTCTGAGGGCATGGTAAGAGTTTCAAATCAAGAAATTAAGTAAATTTTCATAAGTTATTGAGCTTTTTGGCAAATCATAATGAAGATATAAATAATGTGGTACTAAATAGGGCTCCTAAGAATTTGAAGTTAAGTGCCCTTAATATTCGGAAAGATATTACTAAAGTTATCTCTATAGTAGTAATAAATTGCATAGTAAAGGAATTTGCTGATAGTTTATTCTTTATTCTCGTTAATGAATCTCACGACATATCTTGGAAAGATTAAATGGCTATTGTGTTATGATATATGAATGAGAAAGGCCAAATTGTTGAATGCTTCTTGGGTATTATAAATGTTCCTGAAACATCAGCTAGATATCTCAAATCATTAATTGAAGAATTCCTCTCAAATTATAGTGTGTCTTTTTCAAAAATTTGTATTCATGGTTATGATGGAGAAAGCAACACGAGAGGAGAATTTAATGGGTCGAAATAACTTTTTCTAACTGAGAATAAATTAGCATATTATATTCATTGCTTCTCACAAAAACTTCAATTAACCTTTGTAACATTTACAAAAAATCTTGTTCAAATTGCACTATTATTTACTATAATTTCAAATATTATGAATATTGTGGGTATTTCATGTAAATATCATTATCAACTTAGATAAAAATAATGAGAGACAACTATAAGTGTGTTACATAATGGTGAAGTATTTATTGGACAAGAATTAAATCAAGAAATATCTTTATAGTGTGCTGGCGAAACAAGATGAGGTTCCCATTATGAATCACTAATTAGATTGATTATAATGTTCTCCCCTCTATGAAAAGTTTATGCCTCCGCCACTGATTGGAGTGATATACTTTTTCCCTTCATTTATTCACATTGTCCTATACAATGACTTTAATTTATGTTGGGATGGTAGGATCATTAAGGAAAAAAATTTCTACCGAAATTATGAACAAGCAAAAATCAACCAACATAAACCAATTTCATTACAACCTTGCATTACTTAAGCACTTTAGATAAAATTCTAAAATTAAAAAGACAATAATCTCCTTTTGGACCTAAAGCATACATTCAAGATTTAACATATTGTTTTGTCCATAAGGATGTACTTGTGTTAAAAATATTTTAAACCTATTTTTAACAAATAAACACAGATGCATGCCCTACTGAGTAATATATTAAAAATAATAAATAATCTCACTTCATAAAAGATAACTAAGGAATTTTTATACTAGTTTAGTGATCATTCATAGGTCATATATTACAAATAATAGCCTAGCCACTTAATAATATATAATTAAGAATACTTTGTATTCGATATTAAGTATTCATACATTTGTGGTTAGACTATTTGGCATTATAGATTATGTTGTAAATAACAATTTCTTAAGAAAAATAGCCTAGTATATCTTACATTTGCATAGAGACAATCCCGATGCTACCTTCTTCGACAAGCTCCCTTTGTGTAACAACACTACTAATCTTGTCTCCTCCTCAAGCAAGCTCCCGTCATGTCTTGTACAACACCACCAGTCCCCTCACTATCTTCTCCAATGAGCTCCTATTGGATCTTCACCTAACCATTTTGCTAGTCCCATTACTACATTCCCAATGAGTTCCCATCACAAGGTCCCCAACTTCTCCAAAAAAATTTCTTCAGGTTGACAAGTCAGGTTGAAGCTAACCATTCTTCTAACGAGTCGAGCTTAAACTCATTGTATAAGCTCAATTCAAGCTCGTGCTTTAATTTAGCCAGCAAAGTTCATGTTAGTCCAAACTCATACTTGATTTGACTCATCTATATAATTTATCAGTGCATACTTTGACCACTTCATATAATGAATTCACCTTAATCCGGTAAGTAGCTTGGATGAGTTCAATTTGAGATCTTTTTCTCTTACAATAAAGTTCATGACAAATTAAATTACAAGATGGATGGTTTGATTAAACTCAAATCAATAAAATCTATAGATTTAATTTACTTGATCCATGATATAATTGGCAAAATTGATTTTAAATTATATTTATTTTGAGCGTTGGCTCTCCAGTTTAAAAGTATAATAAAATATAAAATGCACGTGATTACTACGTGCGTGCGGTCTTCATAATTGCGTACCTCGTGAGCTCTTGACGGTCATCATATCCGACGGAGTTACTTCGGCCATGGCGGCGGCGGCGGTTAAGCCGCTTCTATCTGTGCTTTCTAAACACAAATACCGCCGATGCAATAAGAAGAAGAAGTATCCAGGCTTCTACATCTTCCACTCTCCTCAAAGGAACCAACCTTTTACTTCTTTGAGCTCCGGCTATTGGAGAAGCGCCGGAATCCCCTATGCTACCTTACTTTGCGAAGAGCGCACAAGAAGCATTGATTCCGAAATCCAGGAGCTATGTCTAATGGGTAATCTTGAAGAAGCCATGAAGTCAATTTCTAGCCTCAATTACGAGGATTTTACAAGGCTGGACTCCGAAACTTACTGCTATGTTCTCCAACTCTGTTCTGATCTCAGATTGCTTCACCATGGAAGTAACCTTCATTCCCTCATTTCCTCCTCTAGACTTGAAATGGATTCCAATTTGGGCTCTAAACTGGTCTCAATGTACGTCAACTGCGGGGATTTGAGAAATGGAAGAATGCTGTTCGATAGATTGACGTTCAAAGAGAATCCTTTTCTATGGAATTTGTTGATGAGTGCGTACGCCAAGATCGAAGAGTACATAGAGACCATCATTCTTTTCCAAAGTATGTGGGAGCATGGAACCAATCCCAATTCTCGCACCTTCTCCTGTGTCCTGAAGTGCTTCACTGCTTTGGGCCATCTTAGCCATGGGATGGCAGTTCACGGTTATCTTCAAAAACTAGGTCTTTTTGATAATGGTAGTGCTGTTGGAAATGCTCTCATCGCAATGTATTCTAAATGCTACTGTATCAACACTGCAATAAATGTGTTCGATAAAATGCCTGTTAAGGATATTATATCCTGGAATTCAATAATCCATGGTTGTGTTTCTAGAGGAATTTTTAACAAAGGACTTGAGCTGTTCAGTGAAATGTTATTCTCTGGAATGGATATAGATCTTGCAACTTTAGTTAGTGTTCTACCAGCTTTTGCAGAAATAGGAGACCTTGCTCAAGGCCGAGCGCTCCATGGATATTCAATAAAAGCAGGTTTTGTTAAGGAGGTAAATCTTAATAACTCTTTGCTTGATATGTACTCTAAATGCTTGGCTGTTGGGAATGCTGTTCAAATATTTGAGAAGATGAGTGGAAGAACCATCGTGTCTTGGACATCGATGATCTCTGGATATGCTATCAATGCACAGTACGAAGAAGCAATTTCCTTGTTTGAAGAAATGGAAGCAGAAAATATGGAACCTGATCTACATTTTATAACCTGCGCTCTTCATGCCTGTGCCTGCAGTGGATCATTAAACCATGGTAAGCATATACATGACTATGCCGTCAGGAATGGATTGGATTCTCATATCTTTGTTGCCAATGCACTTATGGACATGTATGCCAAATGTGGTAATATGGAAAATGCTAGAGATGTCTTTGATCATACTGCAGATAAGGATATGATCTCATGGAACACGTTGATAGGTGGTTATGCTAAGAACTCTCTTCCGAATGAAGCACTTCATTTGTTTGTGAAAATGCAGTTACACATGCTACCTAATTCCACAACAATGGCCTGTATACTTCGTGCTTCCGCTAGCCTTTCTTTACTTGAAAAAGGAAGAGAAATGCATGCCTACATAATCAGGGTTGGGATTCAAGAATGCAGCTTTGTCATGAATGCTCTTGTCGACATGTATTCAAAATGTGGTGCATTAGTATTGGCTCGTCAGCTGTTTGATCTAATGGATTTTAAAGACATCGTTTCATGGACTGTGGTAATTTCAGGTTATGGCATGCATGGCCATGGCAGAGAAGCTCTTGCAATATTCAAGCAGATGAGGCGTAATGGAATAAAGCCTGATGGTGTTTCGTTCGTCGCCATCTTATATGCCTGTAGCCATTCTGGATTAATAGATGAAGGATGGAGATTCTTCAATGCGATGAGAAATGAATACAAGATTGAACCTACAATTGAGCACTATGCCTGTATGGTTGATCTGCTTAGCAGAGCTGGGAGATTAGCTAAAGCATACAACTTCATCGAGTCAATGCCAATGGTGCCGGATGCGACAGTTTGGGGTGCTTTGCTTTGTGGTTGCAGAATTCACAGAGATGTGAAACTTGCAGAGAAAGTTGCCGAACGAGTTTTTGAATTAGAACCAGAGAATACAGGATATTACATTCTGCTTGCAAATATATATGCAGAGGCTGAGAAATGGGAAGCCGTGAAGAAGCTAAGGGACAGTATTAAAAGAAAAGCATTAAGGGGCTGCACTTGGATAGAAGTGAGGAGTAAAGTTCACATCTTTGTTGCAGGAGATAAATCTAACTCGCAATCGAAGAAGATCGAAATTTTTCTTGATGATGTGAGGAGAAGAATGAAGGAAGAGGGATATGCTCCGAAATGGAGATATGCATTGATCGATGCAGAGGATCGTATTAAGGAAGAAGCTCTTTGTGGGCACAGCGAGAAGCTAGCTATAGCTTTTGGAATATTGAACACAATAGAAGGGAAGCCTATTCGTGTAGCTAAAAATTTGAGAGTATGTGGAGATTGTCACGAGGTTGCTAAGTTCATCTCGTACATGACAGCAAGAGATATTATTTTAAGGGACAACAAGCGGTTTCACCATTTTCAACAAGGACGCTGCTCTTGTAGAGGCTATTTGTGAAACACGAGCATATATAATTATTTTCCATTCCATAACAAAGTATAACTCTTAGCTGCCTCGTGAAAAATAGGAGTAATGCTAAACCACCAAAAAAATGTTTATATGAGAAATGCTATTTTTTATCACATCAGATCAATGCATTTCTAGCATCATCTCCGAAGCATATATTTTAAAAAAAAATGTTTCTTCTAGTATTTATTTGTACACTTTTAAATACCAAGTAATGTTTTTGTACAACTACATACACCGGAGGAGAAATTGTTCTGTGGGTACGTAGCTCTGCGTTCGGACTCCAATTAAATCATGACACGTGTATTGGACACATGGATATTAAATATAAATTTTGTATTTTATTTTTGTCTTGTCAACTCAACCGACCTGGCCCAATATGTTTTTTGTTTTATTTCTGTGTTGTTAGCCTGACCAACCCGACCTTAAAAAATTTTTAATTTGCGGGATATCAAAAGTCCAGGAGCCTGTTCATTTTCGCATCATCGCATTTACTTTCATCTTCGGCATTCACTCTTCACTTTCAGTTTTCGCATTCCAGGAGGTTCATTGTTCACCTGCATTGAGCTGCAAAGTTCATTATCCACTAACAAGTTTAGGCAATTCTCGTTCAATTCATATTCAAAGAGATACTTCTTTTGTCTTATTTGTCAAAATGAGTTTTAGGGTTTAACATTTAGGATTTTTAGGGTTTACTATGTATTTACTACGTAAATGTGTATTTATTGTGTATTCACTAATATCGACTGTCTCCATTTTCGAAATTATTTTACATAGGTTTCAAATTTATATGAGTTGTTTTCTTTTAATTTTGTATATACTTTTCTAACTGCGTATTTACTACGTATTCATTGCCTATTCACTATGTGTTCACTACTTATTCATTATGTATTCACTATGTCTTCATTGAGTTTTCATTGCATATTAACTGCATATTGACATCTTATTCACTGCATATTTTTCTTTGGTTTTTGTAGATGTCTTTGTATGTTCGGCCTATTACATATCGTTGCTTTGTATCAACATTCAGAAATATTTGTGACTCTTTCATGGAGATAATAAAAAAAGATGTCAATGACACCTTGAAAAAATTACAAATATATCGATTTCTAAAGTTTTCTTCATTCTTGCTAAACGTTCCACTGATATACGAGCTTCTCAAATTTTCGGATATTTATCGGCATCCTTTATCATCAAGGGTCATTTGCTTAAATTCACATATGATAAAGTGACTCTGTTTACAAGTTTGTCAAACAGAGGTGCTAAAATCTTATGGAGGAGTGAGTCACTTGTCGGATTCACATCAACTTATACTAAGAATGAGCTGAAATAAATGAAGATATCAACTGACATGTCTGTTATAATAAAGACATTTATCATGTATTTGTTGTCAATTTTTTTCATTATAATAACTTTGAAATCCCAAGAAGGTTCCTTAGTATTTCAAGTAATATAAGTGAGTTCTCATCTATTTACTAGGCCAGGACCTTAAGGGAGTATATACTTAATGAAAAAGCCATTGCCATTATATTAATGATTTTGTATCTCTGTTAATTGTGAGTGCTAAGGGCATCTAAGTATCATTCTAATTATCAATTCATTAGCTAATATTATATGTGATCTTATATATATTTTTTCCTTGAGCACTTTTCAATTAATATAACTAAGTACCCTAACTTAAGATCCAGTTTTCTTCGTTGGGGTGATATAGATGTATTATATTATGTCGATAAGGCCACCAATTTATTTGCTACGCTAAAGCAATGACAGGTACACATGAAGATTTATCTTGGAAAACATTTTAATTAATGTTTTTGAAGTGATTGGAGATTTATTAATAATATAATAATTTTTGTGCAAACTTTTTATATCCTTTAGAGAAAAACCCAGGAGGAAGAAGACAACATGCATGCTGACTTTATTGCAACTCGATCTCATAAGTTTATGTTTTTTATAATAAAAAATATTGTGGTTCAAATCCATAGGTCTACTTGTATTTGCAATGAATATTTATTTGTGTGTGTACTAACGTTTTAGAAATATCATGCTCCTTCCAATGAAGATTCAAGGCTCAAGTTTGGGTAGAATATGTTATGCTGTAAATTTTTTTGTAATATTCATTAATGTATTTTTTATTGTTTGAATCAAGTCCTGTAAGGATATATGCTAGCTTGGTGACAGTGCACACACACACTCAAGGGGAGTGAGATTGAGTGAAAACCAAAAAATTAAATTTTGAACTAATCATATTGTATGATCATCTCATATAACTAATCGTGCTTTATGATTTAGATCATACAAGATGATTCATTATGGACATGAAAAAATCCACTAATTATACTATAGGTAATATTTTAATCTTCAAATTTTGTTTTAATCATACATAATGATATACATCGTACAAGATGATTTATGATAATCATGCCTTAATTAATCATGTGGTAATGAAACTATTTTTGATTAGATTGCTCGATCAGATCGTTTAAGAAGATCTACGACAATCGTAGTAGATGATCTTTGATATTTCATGGGACAATCCTCCATCGTTCAAGACGAAAACCATAATCTTCTTCTAATCATACAGGGGATTATACTGGAAGTCCCGACGGATGTGCGGGATCATATATAAATTGTCACCCATCATCCCATATTATACTGGATGATCAAATTCTTGAACTAATCGTGCAGGGAAATCCTGATCGTATTGGCTGAAAGGATTATTTTTTACTAATCGTAGAGGATGATCTAATGATCATAATTGATGATCTTTGATGGCAGAATTAATTTTTTAAGGTTTTTGAAGCCCTTTATTTAAGTTTTCTCCAAAGAAATTATACGTGTATTGGGCAAGCATTGATTCTCCATTTTTCTCATAAAAACTTAAAGAGAGAGCCTTGAAAGGGAGAGAGGAAAGGATGGAGAATTAGAGGGAGAAGATCCTTGTGAGTTTCAAGGGAGTGTGGAGGGGGTTTCACACGGTTGCTCTGTCTAGCTTACATCTTACTACCATCGTATTAAAGGGTTGTCTTGAGGGAGGTTTTGGGAAGAAGAATATTTCTTTGGTGTCAAAGGACTTAGCTAATATGCCACACCGAGGAAGGTGAAAGTGATTCAAGGTTATCTGCCTCACCAGTAGGGTGAAAAGGAGTCAAGGTTCTCTATCTAACAAGGAGGGTAAAAAGGACTCAAGGTTCTCTGCCTATGAAAGGAGTACGGTCTTCTGCCACATCGGGTTGTATTTGTTATTGGTTTTATTCTTTTGCACTTTATTTTTTGCATTTATTTTTGTGATATCTGCATGGTTGAAAATTTCTGATTCTCTATTATTATGAATCTTCTTTTCTTCCGCATCGAGAGATAAAATTATCAGTTTCATATCTTGTAAAACTTTAAAATAGGGATTTTTCTTTTTGTTTAAATAGGTTTTTAAATTACCAATTCACCCCCCCCCCCCCCTCCTCTCTCATTTAGCCTCGGGACTAGTCTTATAAGGTCTAATAACCTTAATGAAATTTCAGTCTTCACTTCAATCCCTCATTCACCCCAGTAAGTTCTCCCTCAATCTCCTTAATAATACCTTCTCATTCTCCCCAACAATTCCTTCTCATTTTAATTATTAATTCATTAGTTAATATTACATTTTTTGTTATACAGATTTTTTCTGTGAGAACTTTCAATAAATATACCTAAGTACCATGACTTAAGATCTCATTTTCTTTGATGGGGCGATATAAATGTATTATATTATGTCAATACGACCACCAATTTAGTTTTTACTCTAAAGCAATGAGATGTATGCATTAAAATTTATCCTAGAACACATTTCAATTAATGTTTTTGAAGAGATTGGAGATTTGTTAATAATAGAATAATTTTTGTTCAAATCTTTTATGTCCTCTAGAGAGTAACCCCGGAGGAAGAAGATAATTTGCATCCTGACTTCACTTCCATCCCTCATTCTCCCCAACGAGCTCTCTCTCAATCTCCCTAACAAGCTCTCATTCTACCCATCAATTTCCCCTTATCTCCAAAGCAAGCGCCACCCGCCTCCCCCCTTCTCTCCAACACTAGTTAAGGATTGGGTTGGTGTCCAGTAGAAATTTTTAGCCCCCTCTCCAACACCAGTTGAAGATTGGGTTGGCATCTAAGTATAATTGCTTAAAGCCCTCTATACAATATGCACAAAAATGTTCAACGAAATTGAAGAGAAGTTAGAAAAAGGCTTGATAAGCTCAAAGCAAAGGTTGATTCTCTTGAATACAAGAACATCCATCATGTTGCATAATGTAAATTCAATCCCCAACAATCTCTTGCATCTTCATCATCATCCTCCCAGCAAGCCCCAATTCCTATTTTCAACATTTAGAAGCCCTAACTGATCCAATTCTTCCTTTTTCTATTAATACAATGGAGCTAACCTAGTTTTTGCACTTCCTATTCTTGTCGACAACAAGGAGAATGTGCCAGATGTCATGGTTCAACGGGATGTAGAAGAGGATGAGAGTAAGGATGAGAATATATAAGAAAAAGAAAATAAAAGGAAAGATAGAAATACAACTCAATACAAAAGCAAGAAGAAGAAAACTAAGATGCCAGTTGTACAACAATCCCCCTAATTGATCTAATTTTGGTGGATGACCTTCCAATTGTTTCTAAACGTGCAAATAAAATATTGGAATTCAATAATTGGGATATGCTAAGTAAAGAAAAATAATTATTTATGGATTAATATTTTGAGAAATTTGCTCATAAGTAAGTTTCATCTGCTCAGATCAAAGTATTTACTAAGCATCAAGATAACTTCACTTATAATTATTGCATATACATTGCATATTCACAACATATTCACTTCATATTTTCTTCATACTTTCTTTGTTTGGAGGAATAACCTCATATTTCCTTATCGGAACATCTTAATAAGTAGATTGTATATTAATGACCTTATAACAAATAAATACTTGGATAATAATCAAATAGATTCCTTTGCTAATTTTGATCTTAGAAGAATAAACTGAACACTAGCATATATGAACCTATCATATACATCTAGCAAACGCATTAAGTAAGAATTCTCATAATAAATAATCTCTATATAATATTATTTGCTCAGGCATTAGTTATAATCCTTATTAATTTCTTATACAGATACAAACAATACAATAAAAATAACCATTTGTATATCTAACATATCAATAATGTTTGGGTGAGGGCAAGCCAACTTTTACTTCAACTA